AACGGTAAACGTTTCACTCGACCGCAGGCCACAACAGGTGCACCACAAGGATTCGATACCCCATATAATATTACCGATTGCATTTGTACAAATAAGTGTAGGTATTCTGCGGCACGCTATATGAGCGAAAGATCTAAGCGGTTAAAGTGCCGATTGGCTGAGATGCACTCAAAATTTCACCAAAAACGTCCCGGTCATGTTCATCGACCACATTTGTACAGAATGTGTTACCGATGAGACAAACTTATGATTAGTTCTCTCATATGCATTGGTAGGTCGATGCTCTATCCAAGTTTTAAATAGACGCATGTGTGTACGTATATGTTTATACGTGAATCTTTTTCTTTCTTGTTATTTCTTTCCTCTTCCTTTTAATACCGGTGGCATAATGAGAAGACCGCTCCTTGATCTGATGTGTGATGGACAATGCGCAATATTTGACCCACCGAGCTAATCAGGATGGCGTTTGTCAAACCGAAAGTTGTAATCATGCCTGAAAGGTCCGATGAAGTTCAGCCTCCTGATCCTTCCGGCCCGGTTGGTTCTATAAAAGTTGGAGTCTCATTCGGTGAAACGGTGGAGTAGTCGATCCAAGTTAGTAGGCTTCCACTTCACTTTACCCGCTGCCTTAAGGTTGGGTTTTTGTTGCAGCTAGAGATCCGTGACTGAAGTACAATTTCGGTCTTTCATTCAAGCTCTGATGAGGGGAAAACAGCAGAACCTGGCAGGCTCCCCCTCTCTGTTTTCATAATAGAAAGAGATAATCTCATAGACTCTATTGCTGATTTGTTGCATACAATCTGGTCGCATGTGCGCATTTCATCATCTTGGAGCAAATCACTGATGTTTCCCCATTTTCAAGAAGGGACCTGGCGACTACTGCGCAAATCACCGCATAATAAGTTTGGTCCCAATAGCCACCAAAGTGCTGGTATCTGGCATACTTCGACCTCTGACACCTTTGACAGCGACCAATATCGGTTCACAACAAGCCGGATTCCGACCCAGTCGCCGGTGTAGTGATCACATTTTTTACGCTGCATCAACTCCTCGAGTTGAGTCGTATCCATCGCCAACTCACGATAGCCGCGTTTCTCAATTTGAAAAGAGCCTTTGACTCGGTTGACTGCGAGGTTCTCTCTGGTTCTACTGTTCGAAAAGGAATACCCCAGAAGCATATTAAGTTCCTAAGATCACTGTACTTACATAACTCTGATCTAGTGCAGAGTCCTATAGAGAAAGTAAGTTGCTCATTTGTTGCCAGAAGAGGTGCTCTTCAAGAGTACTCTATTTTGCCACTCCTATTCAACTTCGTCGTAGACAAAATACTTTGAGTGGTCTAAGAAATGTTGTCATTGAATGGTAAGTTGCATAAGGTGTGCGATTTGGAATACACTGACGATATCAACTATCTGTTCGAGTGTGTGGAGGAGGCGCAAAACGTACTCGGCGAGTTATGTAACTCAATTTGGTATGGGCTTTGCATCATTCAAAGCACATAGCAATGCTGCAAAACCAAGTATCAACCAGTCCTTCTTTGAAACGAAGTGGTAAGAAATCAGTTCTGGTCGATTGGTTCTTCTATCTTCGCAGCTGCTTGATTGACGAAGTTAGTACAGCAAAGAAGATAACTACTTGCATTTCAATTTCATTTTTTACAACCATATGCCACTCATTTCTCATCTACAAAATTCGAGCGGCGTACGCCGGACGGAAGCACCTGTGGTGTCGACGTGACACTCAACTGAAGTTGAATGATCGTCTATAATGGACTATCGTTCGATCAGTAATATTCTACGGGATTGAGATCCTGAATTTCTGTTGCAGCTCTGGACCGGAGTAAACCATGTGAAGGCCAATAGACAACGTGGAGACAAGGCATAAAGAGATTCATAGAGCAATCAGGTAGAGTAGATATCTCCCGTTATCCAGATTGGGGCCTAACAAAGTGGTTAGTTGGGGGCGCTGAAGAATATGGCAGCAAACTCACAGCAGTGGCTTTCTTTTCACCACTTCTCATCAGGTCAGAATGCTTGGAAAGGTACGTATTTACAGTAAAGTTTTGTTGACCCCAGAGGTGTCCTTTCTTGCCCTCCCACCTTCAAGTAGGTCCACACTATACATTCTTACTTTGCATTCATCATCAGTTTGAATCAGGGATCAGTGAAATTTGCTTCACCATATTTCACTGTGGGATAGTGATGAACGTGGTGGTGGCAATAACTGGGATAACGCACGTCTTTCTTTGTAAGAGACAAACATTGAACAGAGAACATTTCTCCTATGACTCGAGCACTAATTCCAAACGTCCAAGACGGCTAGTGGAAATCGGGAACACGATTTGTGCAGCGGAAACCGTGCAATTCACAACCTTGAAATACATTCACAGTAATCATTTTAAACAAGTTTTCGTTTTTAATACTGAGTATTATTTGAAATTTGAAATTTCCCGAAACATTCAACTGATTTTCTGGTGGTTGCTGATCATTAGACATGCGCATCTAGTGAATGACTTTCCCGAAATCATTGCATGAGAAAAACGATAAAGGACAACTGTGAAATCGGTCATATACTTGCGCGAAATCTAGTCATTCGGATACAACTTAATATCATAATCCTTCAAAATCGGACAATGAGTCAGGTTTGTTGCAGTCGGCATTACACGACCCACAGACAGATGCAGCTTGTGTCACTCGCCATGGCTGCGCATGAATGGTAATGATTCAAAACTCAAAAGCAAAACTTTACGCATCGATTACAACGAATCGAATGAGAACTGACGTAGTACACACTCACCGAAAGTTCTTGACCGCGCAATGTCCAGCCGAATTCGGTCACATCTTGCCAACCACCGGTCGAATTAGTGCGATCCTCTCCAGCAGTCTCGATGCCAGAATCAGTTAACTTTTCGTGACTCGACTTCCATATGAAGCAAAAAAAGATTTAGTTTAGAATTGGTTCTGTAAAATGAGAACCTCCAAACGTCTCAAAGCAAATTAGAACAATGAACCGTGTTTACTATTCAACTCCTAACGAGGTCGTGTAATGTGATTTCCGACGAGAGGGATGTTCAGGAATATTGACCTGAGAGATATTAAACGCCGAGGAATGATAATGTCCTCAATCACAACAACAGTAATGTGAGGCCCTCACAGTAGGAAATGACTAATAGATGAATATTGTCATGTTTCGGAGGGATAGGATACCAGCACAAAATTTAATCCCCAACTCCACGAACAGTAACTCAATTCGGAGAGTTAAATTTGTCATACTGGTATCAAGGTCTGCTGGGAGAGTTGCAGTCAATAAGATGGAAGCAGCCGGAATGCTGAAAACTCAGTGTTACAAACTTTGTTCTTTACCAAAATATTGAAGGTTTACAGCTCCCTTGCCGGTTGCATCATCACCCATGTCCTTCGTTGACTAACGTAACATTATTGCGGTTAACGAAACTTGGCTTATTACCGACATTCTGGACTCAAAGTTACACCACCTGGTATGACGCTGCTCAGGCGCGACCGCCCTTCGAGGAGCGGTGGTGTGCTACCCTATCTTAGCAGCAAAATTAATTGATTATCCTGATGCTGAAGTTCACGCATGTCCTCATTATGGGTTACTTCAATTGCCCAAATCTGGCTAAATCAGTGACCTCCCTACAACAGTTCGAGAGGAAAAGCACTCAGATTATTGCATCGTATCCTCTTTACAATTTTGTCAAGGGAACCGATGATATTTGGAGCCAACCACTCATCGTCGGTCTTGGACTTGGTGTTAGCATTGATGTTGGTATTGGTGTTAGAATTGATAGTGGAAACGATTTCTACTACAATCCTATTAGGACATAGTGATCATACTTTATTGTTGTTTGGCCATGCATCTTCACCGCAAAGTTCTACGGTTATCCCTTTTAACTTTATTGATTACACTAAACTTAAGATTGTGGCGAAAGACTTCCAATGGGATTTTCTCAACGAACAGTCTGATCCCCGGGTATCCTAGATCAAACACATCACGTACCCCACTGGGCAAAATGCAGCGATTTGCAGTCAAACAGATGCAAATGTCACAGAGAAATATATCACGGAGAGCTTATAAACGATTTCTTTGCATCAGCACATGGTATACCTATTGTTTACTGCGAAGCCACTGTATCAAGTCGGCGCGAGAAAACAAGTTGATGGATCAGGAAATGTTGATGGGTTATACCCAATCCAAAGATCTTGTACAAACAAATAAGTGCCTCCAGGGAAGTCAAGTCTGGTGTTCCAGCGCTAAGATTTACAGGACATGTCTCAGTTACAACAAAGGAGGCAACCGAAAAGTCAGTACGCTCAAGTATTCACTTCAATGGCCAACACGGGGTTACGACTGCCTCTGTTACTCAGGAACATTCTAAATCCGAAGCTAATCACAAGTGATTTTTCCCCAGAAATCATAACATAAAAAGGAATTCATCCCCGGGGATAGATAAAATCCGTCCACAAAACCTTATCGACCTAGCAAGTAACATAGCTCACCATTTGTGAAATATTCCTGCGGGTGTGCTCCCACAAACATGGAAACAAGGAATAATTTAACCAATATACAAAGTTGGAGGTCGCAGTGACCCGGCTAAATATCGCCCCGATACTCTCCACCCCGTATTATCCAAAGTCATAGAATCCATTGTTGCAAACAATGTGAAGAATCGGTTGGAAAACAACAATGTTTTTCCCAAGGTGCAACCTGGGTTTCGTCGAAGGTGGTGGTGTACCAATAACCTGCTTCTGGCCCAATAAAAGTGGACAAAAGCAAGCGATCACGGGTGATGCAGTGGACTTACTGCACCTGGTCTTATTCTAGGCATTTGACCGAGTGAACCTTAAAGTAATGTTGAGCAAACTACACAATTATGGAATTCTAGGACTCGTACTGCTTTGGATAAAAGAATTACTTCGACAACGCACCATGGCAATTCGGGTTTCGGAGTAACTGTCTGATCCTACCAGTGTATCCCGAGGAGTTCCTCGGGGATCCGTGCTTGGTCCTCAACTATTTCTAGTTTTCATAACCGATCTAACGGACATTCTAGGGCTTCAATGAGTATTGTTTTCAGACGACGCAAAAATATAGAAAACACTGAAAAAACCAGAGGACTCACTGGCAATTCAGACACTCTTAGTAATGCTCATCAATGGTCAATCGGAAATGACATCTAATTCAATGCATCGAAATACACGTTCACATCCCTTAGCCACAAAACTTGGCTTCGTTACTTCCTGGGATATTAACAACTTCCGTATGCCTTGAATGAGAACTATCTCGGTGTCACTGTTCAAGACGACCAAGTTGTTTTTTAAAATGCTCCAGGCCGTCGTCCGTCGCTGCAAGACAGTTTGGTTTTCTAAAGTTAGTATTGGGCCATTTCGAACCTGAGCTGTTCCCACGTTTGTTTTCAACCTGCATTCAACCCCACACAGAGTACGGTATTCAAGCGTGGCTACAACGCGAACGTAAGATTCTGGAACATCCACAATGAATGTCCACGAAGATAGTCAAGGGGCTGAATTCCAAGACTTATTTGGAAAAATTGGAATCACTGGAGTTGTACTTCATACAGTATCGTCAAATTTGAAGAGAATTGATTTCGGTGTATAGAATAATACAGAACCCTGTTCACCCATATCTCTCCTTGTTCGCTTTGTCACCGAATACTTATTTTAAGAGGAGCACATTCAAATCAGTACTCCAAAACTGTTCATTAAAATGCCGACGTCATTCATTTCATTCAAATCAGTACCGCCGAATTTGAAGGGAGTTGATCTTGGTGTATCGAACATTACAGGACCCAAACCCTCCTTGTCTTTCGCTGCCCAAGTTATCGCCCAATATCCATCTAAGGATACATCATTTCAAGTAAATTTTCCAAAACTGTAGTCTGGAAAAGCCAGTGCTATGTTTGTGCCCTCAGAGGGACCACCAATTAGTACACTGTCCCATCTCACATAATTTATGCGTCAACTAGTACATCTTTCAAGCGGATTTTGCCACACTTCACATTCGTAAACTACTAAAAATGCGAAACAGTTGAATGCTACACTATGTTGCTTTTATACCCGGAACATCGGGTGAGTAACTCCCAATAATAACACCTGGACTTAGGCCCACCTATACGAAAATGATGCCCATGGATGTGAAACGCACACACGTAACATGATTTGTGTAAACTGTTCCTCATGGTTCTGAGATGTCAAGCGTGTGTGTAGATTTAAGTCTTTGATCGGTGGTTTTCTATGATCAATATTTACGTAGATTGACACGGCTAGGATCAAGGAAGCATGTCAGTAACACCGAGTTGATTTCTGGGGTAAATNAAATCGCAGTGTTTTAGCGTAAAAATGAGTGTCAAACCGAAGTAGCTCGTCAGGACATACATCGTACATGTCCGGCGGTCGTCTACTGCAGTACCCCTCGCCTAAGATGTTAATCTTAAGTGGAGGATATTACGTAACGTCCAACAGACAATGTGAGAAAATGCATGAACCAATGCCCTAATGGACTGGACAGAGTAGGTGTCTTGTAATTCTGGCTATGGTTTCCGACATCTAGCTGAATTCAAAGAACAGGATGCCACCGAATCAGCA